AGTCATTGTTGGGATACTCTTTTAAAGCTGGCAGCATTAACAGCTTATATCGAAATATATATCGTTACCGTTCAATATGGGGAAAAATTATCGAGATTACATTTTTGCCATATCGCCCAGCCCTAGTTTTTAGTTAGAAACACAAATTATCGGGGAAGACCGTTACATAGTTTTAAGAATTCTGAGATGGGGGGATTAAAACTGTGTCTCATACAGAAAAGTTCAAAATCTAACAATCCTCCATTAACATCCATCAGATCAGTCACTAGGGTTGGGTACCGAAATCCGGTGCCGATACGGCACCGGTACCAATATAACCGGTATGTACCGGACCGAAACAGAACGCGAATTTCGGTGCCTCATTTCGGTGCCGCTTAGATGCCTGAACTGTCGATTGAAATATTTGTTCTCTGGAGCTATGATGACACAGTTGTAATAAACATCAGATTCATCAACACACACGTGACATCATCTGGAAATGAGACCATCCGAGATGCGCGTGAATGCAGCAACTAACGTTACACTTGCTCTGACGGCAGCAGGTGGTCTACCGCTATCTTAGCTTGCTAAATTAAATAACTCGTTAAAATGCCTAAAATTAAACGGTCGAAAGTGTGGCTATATTTTAAAAAAAAGGATTCTGACACCGCGACGTGCAGCAAATGTTTTACAGCAGTTGCGTGTAAAGGGGGAAACACGTCAAATCTGATGAAACAGTTGAGGGCACACAATTAATTTAAAAGCAGAGGGATGCACCGTGTTTGACAGCTTGCGGACAACAGCTGGCACTATCGGTGTGGATGACCACAGCCCCAGTCATACCAACCGTAGCAAAAAGGAGTCCACCGATTATGTTGACGACAGCAGGCTTTCCGCAGGTTAGTAGTAGGCTAATGTAATGTTAATTACAAAATGCAAATCTTGCATTCATGCTAACAAATGGTCAAACGATTTGTAAAATACTAATGTAACATGGATTCTGCTTATAATTATGGCTTTCCAGCTAGTACTAGTAGTACTACAACAGTGACCCCATTTACCATTGCNAATCAAGATGCTTGCAGACTGCATATTTTCCAGACAACAATACTGCGGAAATACTTTCTGCGCGTCTGGGAGGATGCACTCGCATCTTGGGACCTTAGCGAGGACCGCCAGGTGTGCATTACAACGGACAACGGCGCAAACATTTTTAAGGTTGTCTCACTTAAAAACTGGACTCGCCTACAGTGTTTTGGTCACCGGCTGCATCTAGCCATTGGTAAGTTAAGCATCTACTAAAGTTAAAGTTTTCAGTGCTAAAACGGCATATGAGGATTTATAACATATCCTACGATTTCACAGCATTTAAGGCTATCACGTTTGACTGCATAATTCAGAAAATGCTGTTGTATTCACACTGCCCTAACAAACACCAACTTGCGTGTGGTTGTGCGCTGTAAAGGCAGATATAAATAAATAAATGATCGTCTAGACCTGCTTGACGCTATTTAATAAATATGCATATATATTAAGCATGTTACATGGTGTTAATGTTTTAAAAAGTGAGTAATGCATCTGTTCTACAATAATAACGTGATAATTTCTCATAATTCATTCCGTTTTTGTTGTCATTGCATGCTTAAGGCATTATGTCAGTTTATTGGGGCAGTGTGAAATAGCCTTTATTTAACTCCGAATTGTGGGATAAAAAGACAGCCCTAGTGTGTGTGGTCTAAATGTTGTTTCTCATTATTGTTTGAAAATCTCAAAACATTGTAATTTATCATCACAAAATACTTTTTATCATCACAAACAAGTATTTTTTTATAAAAAATCTTTGCCTTGTAAAGATTCTGAGCATGTGCCTATACTGTTTTCTTCATCATCAGAGGGGAGTATGAGAGACCAGAGAATCCAAAGAGCCATGGGTGTGTGCAAAAAAGTGGTCAGTGCTTTTTCCTTCTCGTGGAAAAAGAAACGCGAACTAGCGGCCACTCAAGAGGAGCTCAAGCTGCCAAAGCACAAGTTGATCACAGAATCACCGACCAGGTGGGGGTCACGCCATGCAATGATAGCACGAGTGCTAGAGCAGGAGAAGGCCATTGCAAAAGTTTTATCAGCTGATAAAAAAACAAGGCACTTGGCTCCCTCATGGCAGGATATTGAGGTTCTGGAGTCTGTGTGCAAGGCTCTAAACCCACTTGCTAATTTCACTGATGCCCTTTCTGGTGAAAAATATGTGAGTGTGTCATACCTGAAACCTGTACTTCATCTTTTCAATGAGGAGGTCTTGAAACCTGTAGCTGATGACTCAGAGCTCACAAAGACCATCAAGGCTTCTGTCATCAGCTATCTGAATGAGAAATATGACAATGCTGCCACTGATGACCTTTTGAGCATAGCATCCCTTGTTGATCCTCGTTTTAAGAAACGCTACATCAAAGATGACAAGCTTGAGGCTGTAAAATCCAGAGCTGTGGCTCAGATGCTG